CCTCCCCAAAAAAAACTTCTGTGACGTAAAAGGCTTAACCGCGGAAAACTTCTCCCATGCCATTTATCCTGCCCTATTCAGCCCTGCCTTCGACTTATTTATTCTTACGAGCGTCTTGTTTCTGGGGCGCTTTATTCGCCTTCAAGTACCTGTTGTCACTCGCACGCCCATGGGAAATCAGCAGATTCGTTATCCGGGCAAGCGTGGCTGCGGTGGTGGCCACAAAAACCAGCATGATGCAGCCCATGTCCGAGTAGTTGGCGCAGCGAATGCACATGAAGATTGGCGCTTTGTACGACCACGAGACCTCGTAGTGCACCGGGTTGGGGCAGGTAAGTCTGACGGCGCAGCATGGGCCGACGAGGGTAGAGGATGATATTTCAGGATGAGTGGGGCGGGGGGGGAGTGGGAAACAAGGATGGGGGCAAGATAAGAGAAGGGAGAGGACGTGAGGCCTGTCTCCTCCATAGGACTAATGTGCATCAGCCAATGGCCGATAAGTGTTTTGGCGAAAAGAGAAAACGTAAATGGATATTAATGTCACTGAGGTTCCTACCGCGGTAGTGGTACCCAAGCGCAAATCTATAGCCGATTACTACAGTACTGTCCAAAGGTCAGTTGACGCACAACAAAACGGTCATGAAAGGCGTTGCAAACTCGATTCGAAGAGCTGTTGGTGTGACAAGAGCCTTCAAGGACAATTTGGTCGAGGCAGAAAATAAAAGGCATGAAACAATTTTTGAAGAACTTCATGTTCGAAGAACCCTAAATTTAGGAGGCCTGGATATTCCCCTCGTTGAGGGGGAACTGAAAACGGTTGAAAGGATTTTCTTGAAGGCTGCGGCTAACGGAGATGCAACAAGTGTCAAGAGGTTAATTGAAAATGCCAAAAGCTACCAGCTAAATGTCAATTGCGTAGACACAATGGGACGAGGAGTGCTACGAATAGCAATTGAAGCAGAGCACATCGAACTTCTGCAAATGCTGTTGGGCTATGAACAGATCGAGCTGAGGGACTCTCTCCTTCATGCCATAAACGAGGAGGATGTCCAGGCTGTTGAGCTCATTTTACAAGCTCAGAGCGAGCGGTCACATAAGAAGAACCTACGGGTCTGTTTCTGAATATGCATCATTAATTTGAACAAGCTAAAGAAACTGAAGTCTTTTATTGTGAAGATAATAGATGAGCTCCTTAATCTCTATTCTCCATTATAGATGCAAAATACAATACATCCGAATATTCTAATTCGTCTTTGATATCACAGACCAGGTTTAAATAGTTATACTTACTTTCGTTCATAAAGCTTTAACACCGTACTTTATCATTAGAGCCATATACGTCTCTGCGGAAAGTTCACATGATAGAAACTAAAAAGATTTAATGAGAAAAGACCAGATATACCCTTATAAACTGTCGTGATTGAATTTTTAAGTTAAACTTTACACTAAAGTGTTGTAGAACCTGTGAAAGTTAGACTAACGTTTACTTTATTTTGAAATTTCCACACAAAACAGGATCCTGAGGTAGGTTTGACGCGATTGCTTGCAGACCACCTAAATGTCTATGCGCACAAAAACATTTTTTTGACACAATTTTCTATTTCTTCGAAAGCAAACAAACACAACACGTAAACTAGCACATATGAACGAGAAAAACAGTACAGCTGTACAGATTGCCCGCTAAAATTTCAGAACATACAGCTGTTCCGCGGAGGAGAAGGAAGACCTTCATTTTTTGTGCCTACACAATAATTCCTATATCCCGCAGGACGCTCGGCTAGTGATCACTAAAATATTTCGTTTTTATTGTTCGCATTAACTTTTATAACACATGGCAGTTAAAAAATACTGTCA